AGAATGAAAAGACCGCTGCAAAGAACAGACTCCTTTTACATGCAACCACCGGTGAGGAAAATAGCAACAGTAGTCAGCTCTAAGTGTATAGATAAGACGGTAATGCAGTTAACCATCTCGGTAACACGAACACTGCACGGGGCCTTTCTAATGTCTGTGTATGCCTCCAACAGACAAAAGAATTAGTCCACTTCAACGTGAGTTCTCAGTGTTCAGACTCTTTATTTTCTCGTCTCCATACAGAACAACTCTCTCTCTGAGGTGTACTACCTTAATACCGCATCTCCTTATGTCTCCCGAGAGTGACACCCCAAGGTCACCACCTGTAACCTTGTAGTGTCGTTTAACATTAAACCTTTTGTTTTGTACTAGCACCTGGGTCAGCAATCTTGAGTCCTACCCCCAGTTCTCCCTCACCCTCCTGGCGAGGGGGACTAACCATAACATTCACCTAGAACTGTCAAATTAATTCTGATGAAAGCCGGTATCTATACTGTGTGTCAGAGGATCTATGTGGCCCAACGTCTGAAACTGTCTGAAAATATTCTTAAATCTTATTATTTCCTGTAGCCGTTGTGTTCATCACCTTTTATTTTATTTCTTTACTTTATTGTTTTTACACTAGTATTGATTCTTAATTTGTATACATGTTCACACTTTTATTCACTTTCTAAAAACCATACTTTACAATTAAAAAGATTTTGAAGCACATTTAAACTATATCTAATATAAGCGTTTTCCTTGTTTAACATATTTTCCTGATATGCTTTATTTACGGTATGTTGATTTTACCTGAAATACTTGTTCACTTTGTGTGTTTAGTTATTTACCCATATGATCTGATGTAAAGAAGAGTTGCCTCAGTGTTGTGTTAACCAGGGACATCTGAGAGGTAATAGGGATGCCAGTATTTATTTATTCATACAATTAGGGGTCTGGGTTTGCTTCTCTTTGCATAGAGTTACCTTCTTTCTGTACCCTCTAAAATATGGTGGGATTTAATTAGGTTGTGATAACTATGTGAGCAATACTGAAAACCAGTTTTTATGAATATTGTGATTGCTTGGCCAACAAATAAACTATGTCCTCCTTTTGCCCCTATTTGTCCCCACCTTTGTCAGGTTAGGCAAATAAACTGAAAAATGGTTTTCAAACTTGCAATTTAAATTGAATAAATTGTGAAAAACTATGATATGCGGTGTACATAAATGCTACAAACATAACAGTATAGAGTTTATGGTAACAGTACATGTTTGCCTATGTAACAAGACATATTAATTGCCCCAGTGGGTGGTTTAGTATAGCAAAAACAAACACTAACGGTATCACTTTTTTCTTTTTGTGCAAAATAGAGAGACTGAAGGGCCTGGAACATGAGGGGACAAGCAATTAGACTGCTAACCATTTTTTAATATATAAAAATAAAATGATATCTGTTTTGAAGTCATATCCATTGTGCTCTGGGCTATAAAGAGGTATTAGTTTATAAAAGCAGAGCAATGGGTGAGTGGGCTAAAAGAACATCAGCATTTGATTGTACTGCTAACATGGTATAACATCTGGGGATACATAAGGGACGTTTATCAGGCTTTGGTGTACACTGGAAACTTTGTGTTTGACCTTTTATTAGACCCATAAACTGCATTTGTACAACTGTATTAGAAACTATCCTGAAACAACAGAGTCACGATAACACCATAAAAGTCACAAATGTACTCTTATGGTGGAATTTTATTTTGAAAGGTTCTGATAGAGGCAATCTTGAATTATATTAGAATTGACATTAGTGTGCAGATTATAGATTGACCCATAAACTGCATTTGTACAACTGTATTAGAAACTATCCTGAAACAACAGAGTCACGATAACACCATAAAAGTCATAAATGTACTCTTATGGTGCAATTTTATTTTGAAAGGTTCTGGTGGAAGCGATCTTGAATTATATTGACTAATTATATTGACTATTATATTGACTAATTGACATTAGTATGCAGATTATAGATTGACCCAGATGAAACGGAGCAAAACACAAATCCCACAAAGCCGGGACTATGGCAGAAGGATTCGGACAGGGGATGGAATGTGAAGACCAGGAAAGGTAAGAAAAGTCCCCAGATTTTATTATCTCCAGTCGATTCAACCAAACGAGTAACAGAGAAGCGCTGACAGCTCTTGTAACGTCCTGTTAGCAACTGGCACTGCGTGCGTGTCAGGCGTTCGACACTCCACAAAATGTATACATGTATACATGTATGCAGGTATGCATGTATGAAGAAGATGGCTGCCAAACGCGTTCAGCACGCAAACACAAAACGTTTCTCAGGAGAAAGCCAGTAGCTCTTTGGTTACAGCAAACTGTTTATTGATGGTAATTAAGTAGAAAGGAGAGAAAAATTAAACTTTTGTCTTAACGATGATAATAAAATTGTAGAAAAATTCTAAGGGCATTCATTTGAAGAAGACACTGGAAATGCATCTAAGACGCATTAAAATTAATACATGCGTGCATGAAAAGCACTGCTTGTAAATGATTAATAGAGTCACATTTCTGAGTTAATGTTTGATGTTTACGGAGCCCCGGGGGGAACATGGGAGAAAAAAAAATTCCGACAACTATCTCGAGATCTCGCAAAACTATCGCGAGATCTCGCAAAACTTTTGTACGCGCTTCGGTTTAATATAACATCTCAGTTTGAATAGGTGAGTCATGGAGGAGGATGTGTTGCAATTCCTCAGGTCGAAAGCGGTCCCTCAGGAAGACATTATACGCAAGGTGGGTTGAAAATTCATTAAACAACTTTAGTATTTGCATGGCTTGCACGTTTTATAGTTTTAGATAACTAGACTAAAGTTTCTAGATTACTTGGAGCTAACGTTAGCGTAAAGTAACTCGTCGTTAACGTTAGCTGTCATTGTCGTTCATCGCTGTTCTATCCCATTAAAAAAAATGGGATAACTCTAATATACTGCCGATTTCTATGGTGTTCATTTAGCATCAAACTGAAAACTCCACGTAACTTAAGTATCAGAATTAAAAAGAAAGCAAACCAAAGTTGATGAGAATATGAACAGATGTAATGGACTTTGTGATAAAGTAAGCCAGTCTTCTTTCAGATTTCTCAGTGTAGTCTTCATGTAATGCTCTTTTATATGGTCACAGGAGGTGAAACACTGAGAACATTCTGACTTTGGATATTTGTGTTTATTTTTATATTCTTGTTTAATTTTTTTTTTCTTCATGTGCAGGTTGATAAGGCAGTGCTATCCATCATGACTGATGAACAAATGGCCAGATATATCTCTTCATATGGTGACCGGGTTGCTGTCCTGTCCTTCTGTCAACAAGCAAAGTGCAGTACTGACAAACACACTCTTTTACAGAAACTGCGAGATAAAATAGGAACACGCAAAATGAAATCAAAGGCAAAGGGAGCCATGTGTGGTACATCATGTGTGTTCAAAAAACAAGGCGAAGGGATGGCAAGACATAGAAATAATGCAGGAGAAAGCACTTCAAGGAAGATTGAAATTGGATGGCTTCATTTCAGCAATAATGACTACCAACAAGTGAGAACCAGAAAAGGTGGTGGAACAAGACATGCAACAGTTGAGAAAACAACAAATATTGCTCAGATTTTGCAGATGAGAAGGGAGCTTTTTTTTTCAAATGGACTTTCAACAAAAGGTCGAGTGGAAGACTTTACCTTTCATATCTGTGATTTTAAAAGACACCAGCTTCCCATGGATGACACTGTTGGCCACCTTTATGAACAAACTAAACTGAAGTTGCTTCGATTTTACATTTGCACACGAGAACAAGCACCTTCAACAGATGAAGAATCACCTGAAGTGGATCAATGTACTGTAGATTCCTTATCTAAGGATTCATCTGTCAACATCTCTGAGGGAGCAGATCTACAGTTGACTAGCCAGGGAGCCCATAGTGATGTGGATGATTCAACCACAGATCAACTGGAGCATGGGCATGCATTTGACAGTGACACAAGCGAACAGGTTTGTGATACTGATAAATAAAGCAGTGAGTGATGATGATACAAGTAATAAAATGTATCCCCTGTATACTGTATGTGTATGTTGGTTGCTGCTGTATCACACAGGTTCTGATGATGTTAAAGAATTTAAATTATTGCTCACTAAAACTTAGTCCTTTATTCTTAGCAGGCTTCTCCTCTTTCTGCCATACTCTATGTCCAGGAAAATCTCATTACTGTCGTTCAAGTCCAGAAGACATAAGAAATCCCAACATTGGCAAGGTGCAGCACCCTAGCTCAAGTGATCATGATGATGACACCATTTGGAATCTTCCTTTCCAGTCTTCTCATGGTTTCCCTGACTCTTGCTTTACAAGTATTGATCCAACCAGTGTGGTTTGTAACAATTTTCCAAACAGAGAAACTGAGCATCTCTGTCACGAAACTTCTGAAAATGTTCCTCAGCTGGATGCAGATGAGGCAGACAC